CAGGCCCTCCTCCCCAGCCAGGCCCTCCTCCCCTGCTAGGTCCTCCTCCCCTGGCAGGCCCTCCTCCCCAGCCAGGCCCTCCTCCCCTGCTAGGTCCTCCTCCCCTGCCAGGCCCTCCTCCCCAGCCAGGCCCTCTTCCCCTGCTAGGTCCTCCTCCCCTGCCAGGCCCTCCACACTTCCCTTGTCACACAGGTTTTCCTCAAAGAGTCACTTCAGATCTCTCCAGAGAGTTGTTTTACTTTTATAGGTTGTGCTGCCTCTGCCGTCTATTTTTGAAACTTCTATTTAATCTTCAAAGCCCTATTTACATGCTCCCTTCCTGGGATTTTGGGGCATCCTAAGCTACTCAATCCTCCATGTAGACCATAATCTCCAATATTTAGGAAAACATCTATCATACCACACACGTTCTAGCTATTTGCTTACACACCTTTGTTAAACATTTTATCTAATTGATGTGTGTGCATGTTTTGATGGTATGTATGTGTGTGTGTGTGTGTGTGTGTGTGTGTGTGTATGTATGCATGTATGTATGCTCACCACATATATGCCTGGTGTCCACAGAGGCCATGAGATGAAGTCGGATCCCCTGGAACTGGAGTTACAGATGTTGGGAACCACCATGTGGGTGTTGGGAATTGAACCTGTGTCCCCTGGAAGAGCAGTGGAAGCAGTGTCAGCTACTAGTCTCTCTAGCCCATTGACACATCTGTTGATATGGGGTATCTACCTGAGTTGGCTCTAGATCTTCTGAGACACCTTTCAGACGGAGGCCTGTAAGGTCATTCACTGCCTTTTGTGCTCACCCAGAACCCAGTGACTGCCTGACTCAAGGCAGGTAGGATCATTTCGAGAGATATTTTAAAATATTTTTTATTTCTAAATATTTGAAGCAATAATGTTTTGATTCAGAGCTCAGATCGTGTTTGTATGTGGAAGTGAGCTTCCCCTCCCTCCACACTCTCCAGCTTTGCTTTGTCTACTAGCAAGTAATAACGTTACTTGTGTTTTCATATCCGCTGGATAAAGTCCACATTCCTCCGCGCGGTGTGGCTCTGTCCTGCCCTTGTTTATCTCCTGTGTCCTTTTTTCCCCTCCTGCTTTTCCTCCTGTCTCCAGTAGAGGGAGCCGCAGGGCTGGGCTCAGTTCCAGTCCTCAATCAAGAGGCAGGCCTGCTGTTCTCTGTCCAGTGGCCTCTCTCTGCCAGCAGTTCCCCCGGGGCCAGCTGCTTGTTTTTCACGTGTGGGCTTGCAGTCTATTGGTCCCTGGAGATGGGCGGATACACAGTGGATGCTGAGAAGGCAGACCCAAAGTGTGGAGGGCCATTTTCAGCCAGCTTCTTTCAAGGCCCCATGCACAACACAAGGTGGGCCACGCCAGCTCCTTCTGGTGAAATGCCATGACCCTGGCTGACCCTGAGATCCCTCCTGAGGCAGACAGCAGGCGCCTCTGTGTCAGCAGACCCCTCTGACAGGAATACCAACCAACATCCCCCACAACACAAACAGTGCGGTGAATGGATAAGAATCCCTTTGCAAACAGTTGGGTCAGCGTTTGATGACATCCTCTGAAGGCAGCAGGAGCTTCTTTGCTCGGGCAGAAGACCATGATATAAAAGCAGGCTGGAGAGAAGTAAAGCTGCTTCATGTTATAATTTTATCTAATTGTCTTTCATTTTCAATCCTTCCTCCCTCCCTCCCTCGAAACCCTGTTGACTGACTAAGCTGGCTTGGTCAGGTGAGTAGTGGTCCCAGCCTCCCATCAGCTGCCGATACAGGTAAGAGGTATGCAAAGATGACAGATAGGAGGCTTCTCTGCTAAAAGTCCCCGGGACAAGGGCACTTTACAACCAGGACAGGGGAAGCCCAGAAGTTTCAAGCGACCTGCCCGGGAGGCTATTTCTTCTTGGATATTTCACAAATGCATCACACTCAACAACAGGGCTCATCGTCTTTCTCCTCAGGCCAGTCTCTTAGGTTTTCAGACTCAATGTGGCGCATCCACAGACTCATCCCAGACTGCTGTGCTGTGGAGCTGGGAGTCATTTTCTCCTGACTGTTACCTAGTTCATGCCTGTTCTTAGTTTTATCCCTGATTTGGTATGACATCATCCCAGCATCCCTCTGGTCATGCTTCCCAGCTCTCAGCACATTTAAGTAGACATGAGCGGCATTTCCATCTGACCTCACTTTCCAGCTCCTGTCTCCTGTACTGGAACATTCTAACAAAGACGAGCCAAGGGGGGTTGCCTGACCATGTCCCCCACTCTTGCTCCTTCTTCAGGCCATCGCTTGTGCTGCTCGTATTGTACAGAATTCCTTCCCTTGCACCACCACCACCACCTGGAGCTTCCACCACAGTTTAAAAGCTCCATCTTGCACTGAAGTGAGTAAAATGTTTGCCGTACGAGTGTGTAGACCTTAGTTCAGATTCCTAGAATCCACATAAAGCCAGGCATGGTTGCTTGACACACCGGGCTGCTTCAGTGAGATGGGAGGTAAAGACAGGAGAATCACCAAAAACTCCAGGGCCAGTTAGTCTGGCTGAACAGTGACGAACAAGAGACCTGTTTCTAGGCTGAAGGTAAGGAAGGATGGTTGGAGTTACCCCTAGACCCCCATACTTATGCTGGGGTACACCTGCACAGGCACACACACAGACAGACACACATACAGATACACACAGATACACACACAGACACACCTGCACACACACACACATATACACACACAGA